TTCATTCCACCTGAATTAAATATACATGTATCTTTTCCATTATTTTCTTTAAATTAAACAGGTGAGTAACTGGAACGAATTTTGGAGTTTGGTATGAAGTGAGAAGAGGGATATGCCTCTTCCCACCCTCTGGCGAACTCATTTTTTTATTATGATTTTATTAAATAATTCTTCCTTTTCTCATTACTATGTGAAGCTTAAACTATCATATACTACACAGATTACCATTTCATATACACCAAGGTTTATTTCTGGCTATCAATTTTGAGACTCTGATCCGTGTATTGACATTTCATGCGTGTAATTACTTTTTAAGAGATGGAGTCTGGCTGTGGTGTCCAGGCTAATCTTGCACTCCTGAGCTCAAGCTATTCTCCTGCCTCAGCCTCCCAAAGTGCTGGAATTACTGGTGTGAGCCACTATGCCCAGCCTTTTTTTTTTTTTTTTAATAATTGCACGTGATTTTAAAATATCTTAGTTTTCTAGCTTTCTGGCCACAGGAAATTGGAAACTGTAGAGACAAGCAAACTGATAACATCATAAAATGAGATCAACAGCTCTCTCTGAGCAAGAAACTAGAAAACACCGGCTATAAAAAGCAGCAGCATGGCCGGGCTTGGTGGCTCACGCCTGTAATCACAACACTTTGGGTGGCTGAGGCAGGGGGATCACCTGAGGTCAGGAGTTCGAGATCAGCCTGACCAACATGGTGAAACCTCATCTCTATTAAAAATACAAAAAAATTAGCCCAGTATGGTGGCGGGCACCTGCAATCCCAGCTACTCTGGAGGCTGAGGCAAGAGAATCGCTTAAACCTGGCAGGTGGAGGCTGCAGTGAGCCAAGATCGCGCCATTGCACTCCAGCCTGGGCGACAAGAGAGAGACTCCATCTCCAAAAATAAAATACAATAAAAAAACATAAAAAAATACAAAACAGCAGCACAGCGCCTCAGAGCCTCAGAGCCAGGGACTGTGGTGGGAAGAACAGCCCTGTGTACATCCTCTTCTCCTAAGGTCAAGTTGAATATTTGATGACAACAATGACTGAGTGATTAGGGAAAAGCTGAGTCATGCGCCCTCAACATATGTTTAATATGAAATAAATATGCAATGTAGTTAAAATTACCTACATTAAAATAACTTAAATAGAAAGTTTTCTTGTATCTCCAGAGTAAGGACCGTACTCATTCAAGGTGCAGCTTTGCCTCTAATGCTCCCTGCTGAGAGCAGCTGCTCCCTGTGCTGGGCCGGAACCTTGAGAGGCCCCTATCTCAGAGCACGGATCCTGTGCTGGGCCCTGAGGGTGCAGAAAGACACAGTAACTGCCTTTGAGGGTTGAGGGCCCCAGTCTAGGGAGGAGGAATGACTGGCCCTCAGTTACCCAGTAATGTGCCAAGAGGAATCATTTCATACTGCTGTGACACTGGAAGGCCATGCCCGTGAGGCGGGGCAGAGATTACATGCTGTTTTTACTGTCGCTGTTTTTAGCAAATATACTTAATAGCCAGGCATGGTGGCACGTGCTGGTAGTCCTAGCTACTCAGGAGGCTGAGGCGGGAGGATCACTTGAGCCTGGGAGGTTGACGCTTCAGTGAGCTTTCATCAGGCCACTGCACTTTGTCTCTAAAAAAACTAAAACTAAAAATAAACAAAAAACAAATACACTTAACAAAAAAGTAGGTCAAGTAGGTCAAGTCCACTGGCTCGCGCTTATATTTTCAGCACTTTGGAAGGCCAAGGTGGGAGGATCACTAACAGCCAGAAGTTCGAGACCAGCCTGGGCAACATAGTGAGACTCTGTCTCTACAAAAATGTTTTTAAAAAAAAATAGCCAGGTGTGGTGGTGCAAGCCTGTAGTCCCAGCAACTCAGGAGGCTGGGGCGGGAGAACCCTTGAGCTTGAGCCCAGGAGTCAAGGCTGCAGCGAGCTATGATCATACTCCTGCATTCCAGCCTGTGTGACAGAGTGAAACCTTGTGTTAAAAAAGTTATATCCACACAATTCACTTCTGTGGAATATCTCACGTTCTGATACCACTGGGTGGAAAAGGCGACGTGTAACCAGCCAGGCAGCCTGCTGGAAAATGGGCCACCCAGCTCTACGCTCACCGATGTGGGGGCTGGCAGGGTCGCTGGCTCGCATGTATCGAGGGGTGTCTTCCTCCAGCAGGCGGTGAGTCACCAACCCTGTGCAGCTCTGCAAGAGGATGGGCTGGGTGTCATTTTCAATCCCTTCCAGGCGCCTGGCAATTCTTTCTTTTCTGTGAGATACACAGAGGCAGAGTGAGCAACAGCGATCGAGTCTAAAGGAAAGCAGAATACTGCTTTGCCAAGCTCTCTTCTATTTCCTAATTCCCACTATAAAGATCTTACCTTTTCATTTCTAAGAATTCTTTTTTCTTTGGTTCAAAGATTTGTCTTAATTCTGCAACTAGAAGAAAACCAAAAAAGAACAAAATATAGTATTAGTAGTCATGCGCTCATTTTATTCACTCA